ACAATAAAAGAACTGCTAGACTGCTAGGGGTATCACAATTACTAATTTCAAGTTGTGCTATGGACCTATAGTAATAAAAAATCACATGGTCTCGGTATAAAAGCAGACACATTGATCAATGGAAAAATCACTGCCAAATTAAAGAGAAGTGAGTGGCAATCTTGGCACCTGGAGGCTGCGAGTGGAAAATGCAAGGATTATATGTGTTCCTGTTCAGTATGCCAATTTTACAAAAGCTACAAATTTGTCCAAATATTTGTCCAGTTTTCTTTTACAGAATTGGTCACTTAAATTTGAAGATACTTTGAAGGAGTTGAGGCTGGCAGTGGTCCATGTGAATCCCACCAGAGTGGACCTTTCCTTGGCATCGGGATTATCGTCCTGGCTGACTTCTGCAATGGACCATCTTAAGGAGTGGGCGGGTATAGGAGCATTAACAGGTCTCTTGGTGTTGGTCTCCCTGGTTTGCTTGTGGTTTCTATGTAAGATTAGAGTCACACAAATAGACGCAATGCAGCCATGATCATTCAGGCCTTTACTGCTATTAAAGCAGGACAGCCCCCCAGGCATGATTAGCCACCTTAAAAACTAATTAAATACGCTCAGGATGCGAGGCAGAGCACTGCACTCTGAGTCAGCTAATAATGACCCAGAGAAGAGCATGTCTGATTGCATGCGGGTTGGTACCCAAGAGTCCTGCCTCTGGAAAAAAGGGTATCGGACGGGTCTGATGCTCATTGGGTGGATGACACCAAACAAAAATCAGTACAATGTCCCTGTCTATGTCAGAGATCAGACCTCTACTCTTGCCTGTTGCGTTTTAAACAAAAAAGGGGGAACTGTAGAGAGCTGTGAAGTGCTGCACCCTTAAGATGGTGCTGGCTTCTGCCTTCTGCTAGCCCAATAGCAAGTGCTCTCTGTGATAAACAACTCCTTATTTGGTCAAGGCTGGATATCAGGCTTGCTTCGTCGTATGTGGACCTAATCTGCTGTCGCCACATGGCTTACCGGGGTTGGCTGCCCAAGGGCCTTTTTAAGCTGTGGGCGGGCACTCCCTGGGGTCAGAAGATTTGTTCAAGGGTCCTGAATAAACTGCTTGGAGAAGAGTCCGAGTGTTGCGTCTTCCTTGCTGGTCGAGGCGGTCGGGACAACTCCCTATATCACCCCCTTTCTATTCACCAATGAGGGTGAGGCCTTCCATGGGGAATCTTCAAAGTCTGTCATATCATTTGGAGCAGAACCTAGATCCTCCTCTATGTGTCTAGGTGAAGAGTATTCTTCTATGTGGAATGGGCTCCCAAAGTCCATTTGTATACTAGGGATAAATTCTGATCTCCTACCAGAGGCCCCTCAAATTGGCAAGGCCTCCTTACTGACACCCACGTTCAGGGGCTCTGGATCAGTCCTATGCTATTTTCCTAGCTATCAGTCTGGGGTCCATGAGCTCCCCCTTGTTCAGGTCAGCTGTCTCTGTCGGTTTCACCAGCTCGGTCTTGACCCCTTTGCTCATCACTCCTACCTCTCTGAAACTGGAGTTCAGTTCAATGTTTAGCTGTGGGTGTCTGCTACTGCTTATATCAGTTAGAGGATGAAGGCTCTAGGATGGCATATAAGGTAGTCATCAATATCATCATCGGGGAAGGGCATTTAAGATAGTCTCTCCACTATTGCTGAGATTGTTAGATTATGTCATCCTTGTAGATCTCTGGACCTTTCCCTGGTTCCAGGTTTCTCTTTAAACCTATAATGGCTCCCTCTATTATGGTATCTCTTATCTTGCTCTCCTCAATTCTTCCTCTTACTCTAACTTCTTGCTCCCTCATGTCCTTCTCTCTCTCCTATTCTTCCCTTATCTTTCTTCTAGCTCACTCTCCCCTCCCCCCATACTCCCAATTTTCTTAGGAGAAAAATTTTAATTGAGATACAATGTTGAGGTTATAAAAATCTTGAGAATAAGAAATCTTAAAGGTCATCACTATCTTATGAATATATCACCTAATTGATTCTAGAATTTTCCAGCATTTACTCTATTTTTTCTTCTATAAATTTGTATATTGTGCTCACACATGGATTTTGGAAAAGTCTTAAAGATTTTTACAATTACTTTAATTTATCATAAGCATTTGCAGTTATCTATGAAGACATCAATATGAATGCTTTTGAGTAGTTTGATATGTAAAATTTACAACAGAATATCTCTATATACTATTCTTCACATGTAAATGAGCCTTTGTCACATTTTAATTCTACTTATTTTAAAATCATAACTGTTTCCTTAAACATATATTTATATGAAATTGTGTTTCATAGTCTTTCATGTTTGCTATGTACTTAATACTTTTAATACGTTCTCATATTTTGTTATTATCAATAACTTTTTGTGCTTTTAATATGCTTTTTCTGAATGATTATGCTTTTATTTTAAAATTTAAAAAGAAAAAAACTCATACCACCCTTGTATGTGTAGAAGCAAGGCAAGAAGGTATACTTCCTTCCTGTAAACCATTCTGGATGTTATACATGCAGAAATATTCAATCCATGGTCAAGCAGAAGAACTAGGGCAATTATTTAAGATATACTACTGGGAAGAAATTACAGGATTTCTTGTGACATTGCCATTAGCATCCAGTTTTACAGACAATATAATTATATCTTATAAAATAACATTATTCAAAATGGAGAGCTAATTCTTATAGTATAAATGATCCAGATTCACCAGTGATGGTTAAAGATCCTATATTCTTTCAACTGAATAGTACCATATTATAAAATATATCAATGAACAATTTTGTTCATTTGAACTTCATATTAATACAGAAGATGTCATCACTGCTAATACAGGAACTTCCTACTTTTATCATGTTTCTGAAACATATATCCAAGAGATTTTGATAAAGTTATGTGATAGAAAACCAGAGGTTATATGTCTTCCATTACAATGCAAAGCATATATTATCTCCAGATTTACCTTGAAAAAAATTAAAATATTTTTACATATTCTTAACCTCTAAGAATGACTTAATGAATAGAAGATTCCAAATAGGCAGAGAAAACAAAAGAACAACATCAAAGAATTTTAGAAAAGAAAATTAAATATGTTCCTCATGTTTAAGACCCATATTTGTAAACTAATAAACACTCATGCATCTATGAATGTTTCCAAACTTTCAAAACTGCTTGCTGAATAGGGGTATCAGGTCTAAAAGAAATATTGAAGAATTGACACTGATTATATAAGTTCTAAGTACTGAAAATTGAGCATGGAAGAGAAGAGTAAAGAATAAGAAATCTATGAAAGCTAAGCAATGTATACCTAGGAAAGGATGTGTACAATTTCAAAACACAACCACCTTATTCTTGCTCCATACTCTTTGAAGCTGGCAAGATTTTGGAAACCAGTAAACTTTATGTTAATACTCAGCCATATTCTTTATAGCTTAAAAACTATGGGAGATGGATCATGTCAGTGGAAGCTTAGAAACACAGTGCTTTGTTGGGATGAACTGAGAAAACAATTATGAGAAAGTTACCATCTTCCAATTTGAACTGAGACAGGTCCATCATTTTGAACATAATAAAAACTCAACCCACCACAAATGAATAAAAATTACACAATCCTAATACCCATGCTGGGATTGTGGTTCAGTCAGAAAATGGCTTGCTGAACAATTCTTAGCTCCTTTGATCTGTAGCACCAATACAAAACCCGCACATGGTACAATCTCTGCAATTCCAGTGCTGAGGCACAGGTAAAAGGAACCACTGGTCTGGCTAACCATTCTAACATATCATTGAGCTCCAGTTTCAGTGATGTTCTGTCCCAAAAATAAGATGGAAAGTGATTGAGAAGGAAACCCAGCATCAATCTGTAGCATCCACATAAGTATGCAGTCTACACATGTGTGAGTGTCAACCCACGCATATATGCATACACACACACACACACACACACACACACACACGTCCTGTCAGCCTGTGTTATCTATTCCTAATAATTACTTGCCCACAGGTGTCATGATATATGGAGAGAAAATACCTTCCTATGTGGTTTTAAGTTCAGTATTCTATTAATTTTTCCTTGTTTTGCTAGTTGCACTAAACTCATGTTCAAGCCACCATGCTTTTCAAGTTGCATCTTTGTGTGTCACTAACCACAGCTTGCTGATTCTTCTGTCCTGCTCTATTTCTGTAATGAGAGGTTCTTCCATTTTACTTACTAGGTTTCTAGTGTGGAAACATATCCCATGACCATTTTGCTCATGAGAAACAAGAAGTGGTTAATTACCCAGGTTTCAGATACTAGGATCAATTCCCCTAAACCATATTTATTTCAGTAACCTGGTTGTAACAGAACTGGTGAACTATATCTCAGCAGATTCCTTTGAATAGTACACAGTTCTTTAGTATACTTGTAAATACACAATTTTAAATGTAGACTATGCCAGACATGGACAAAATGTCTAAAATTTTATCACTAAGGAAGTTGAGGCAACAAGACCAGAGTTTCAAAACCAGCTTAGCTATATAGTGAGTTTCAGGCATGTTTGAGATACATAGGAAGACCTTGTCTCTAAAACATCAATTATAATGTTTACAATGAACTGAGTTACTAATTAATTCTATTGGTTTTACCTAACACTGGAATTCTGTTACATTTCTTACTGATTAGAGCTTAATTGTTTTCTTTGGCCGATTTAAAACGCTTATGTAGTTTTTTCGTTTGTACAAAGTATTCTGAGTTTGCTATATGAAATAGGAGTCATTTTTACCTTACTGTTTGGAAAGCATCAGCTGCCCTGGGCCCATTGTACAAAGTCATTAATAACACGTCAGTGTCCTACATTATTTATATGAATCACCTCTTTAATTCTCTCTACATAATGAGATACAGTGGTAACTGCCTTGGTGTTGCCATGGAGCCATGCAGCACTATGATGCTCATTACTTGGTGAGATCACACAGTGAGGAAGTAAGAGCTGACCCGGGATTCACACTCAGCCCATTGGACTCCAGAGTCCCCCTCCTCACATCCTGTTCTCCATCTATAATAATAACTCTTGCATACTCAGCCACCCTGCAAGAGCAGCCAACCAGTACAAGTGGCCTGAATATGACTAACTACCTGTAAGTAGGCCATTCTTCTTTCTCATTTCTATGTTCATGTAAAGAGATTAAAACAAGGCGTCCTCTCAGGACTATTCCTTTATTTAGTTCCCATTAGAGTGCATGGTCTTCTCTACCATTAGCCTGTACAGGTTATATGCATATGTGAATTACCAAGACAGTGTATCATTCCTGCAAAACACAGTATCACAAACAATTTTTAAATGAAATATATGAGGGACAATTCATTTAAAACCACACAGAGTAGAATATATGAATATACTCCTTAAATCAGCAACAGTGTATTAATATATTTTAAATACAAAATTTGCACTTTTGCAGCAATAATTTAATCTGAATAAACATGAATCCTAGGTTATACACTTTCTATATACATCTTTATCTTTTTATCATTTATGTTACACTAAATGCATTCTTATGTCCATGTTGAATAAATTGTAAAGTTCTAAATCATTAATTTATGATTGATTCATTGCATTTAAAGTTTAAAATGAAAATTGAAAGTAATATGTAATTTTAATTTTGAGTCTACCTTCCACACTTCCACACACAGCAGACAAATTCTTAGATAGAAACACATTCTAGTAATCTAAAATTATCTGCTTGGACATTGTGCCAATTTGTGTAATTACAGTTTAGGGACCCAATTTTGAAGATTATGGTCACCTTTTTTTGTGTGTGAAGAGCTTTTGCTTCACAACTTAACAGGCAGTTGGACATGTTAAGAACAGTAAACAGTGGGGAATTGATGCTTTTTCTCTGCTACAAAAATTCAAACCAAAAAATAAATGAATCTGAATGCATAAAAATGCTTTTCTTTTCAATAGTTCAAGGTGACCTTCAGCAGAAATAAAAACAAAGATGTTTTCTCTTCTTAAAAGAGCTCATTCCTCCTTAAAATAACATATATAGAAACAATGAAAACTTTTTAAGTATTCATTATTAATAAGCAATGATATATAGTGAAATAATGGCATCTATTAAGAAATGTTTGAACAATTAAAACTTTCAGTAACTAAGGCATCTAATTGTAGATGTGTTCCCAGCAGCTGTCCTTATTTAATATATCTTACAAACCTCTATACCAACATTTCACATTTTTAACAATGTCTTACATTTGGGAACATATTCTGGTCTGATATTCAAATGACATTTGCAAGAACATGCACTTTTCTAACAGTGTAGCTTTTTCCTTGATCCGTTATAAGGTACTACTATTTAAAACAAAAATCTTTCTCATGTTAAATTATATAACCAATCTTCAGTGTCCAATTTAAAATGGGTTATTATATGACATAATATATAAAAACTTAGACATTTGAATATGTATACAAACATACAAATTATATGTTATATGTTTTATGTAAATATGTTATATGTATCTATAAATTGGAACTGGATAGATGACTCAGTCAGCAACATGTTTACTATAAAAGCATGAGTGTCTGAGCATGTGTTCCCCACTAAATGGTAGCTGAAATGATAGCTGTCTGCACCCTTCTGCAACTAAATTTGAAGAGTAAACAGGGAGGCAGATTCTTGAAGCTCATTGCCCACACAGCCTAGATAAATATATGAGCATCAGATTCAGTGAGAATCCCTATTTCAAAAATCAGATGTGGAAAGAATGAAGCAAAACATCTGACAGTATACAGCTTCCATACTCACACTTGTTCGTCCACACACACCCACATATGCACACTCCCACTTGAACACATACCTACATTACACCCACCCACCAACGCACACACACATACACACACAGAATTTTTTAAATACATTTATTTTTCTCTTACGCTACAGATTTCAGATATCAACTATATACAATTATTTTAATTTTAAAAATTGGTTAGGAAATCTTACTTTTTCTTCCAGAAATTCTTCCCTATAGTTGTGTCTTACCACACTCCTTAAAACTCTTTTGGTGAGCTGGAGAGATGGCTCAGAGGTTAAGAGCACTAGGAGATCTTCCAAAGGTTGCTTTCAATTCCCAGCAACCACATGGTGGCTCAGAACATCTATAATGAATTCTGGTGCCCTCTTCTGGCATGCAGGCATACATACAGGCAGAACACTGCATACTTAATTAATGAATAAAATCTTTTTAAAAAAAACCTACAACAAATATACTTCAATTATTATTCATGAGATTGCATTTTTAACCACTTCCACTTAAAAAGAAAAGCATATGTAAAGCACAAATATTTTGGTATTACATGTGAATTATTCTCAGTGATTAGCAATGTGGTGTAATAATTATGACAGCTTGCCAATCATTTTCTGAATTAATCAGTACACACAAAATTGCTTTATTATAGTTCTCAATGCTAAGTTCTAGATTTCACTGTGTATCCTCCTGTCTGACCAAAAAAAATTCTCCAAACTACATCTAACTAGGATTTCCCTGGGCTGAAAAACTCCACTTGTTTTTGGGTGTAGTATTTTTCTGTTATCATAGAAAAGCTAGTATGAGGACAAAACTAGGATACAATAAAAATAAACTGGGCTGAATATTAATGAGAAACACAACACAAATGCTGTTGCAGCTGTCTGGAAGACTGCAAGTTTGTAACTCTTTAAACACAGGATATGCTTAAACCAAAGCATCCTATCAATTGCACATCCCCAGGTGCATTTCAGAGATCCTTGCTCATATTATCATGTTACACATTCTTAGCTCTCTCTGAGGCGGCAGGTGCTTGCTCCACAAGCATTTTCACAGAAAGAAATGGAGAAATCAGTAACCCAGAATGTCAGTTTATACAACAATAAACATCTGTTTATTTGAAACTCTCAAATCCCTGATTTGCTTTTTTTTTAACTTTTATCCAGATTGCAGTTTATTTTACACTTGAAAGGTAAATGTAATTGCAGTCCAGTGGGCATTCAAAGGAAAGCAACATAGTGGGATCAGAGGATGAGACGATTACATCAAGTTGATATAAATTGTATTTCACATTGTAGTATGAGCCAGGAATAAGGTTCATCTGAAACACCATCAAATTTCAGGTTGTCAGGAACAGTAAAGCAAGAATTTTACCAAACTTCATGTGGGCAGACAACACACCCAATGTCATGAATCAGAATCCATCTTCTTGTACCCTTGTGTATCAGTGTGTAATGCCAGGTAACAAAAGATCTCAAACTAAGCAGTTTGCTTTTATTTATTTTGTGGTACAAAGGACACCACACATACTGGGGAAGTTATTTTAAACAACATGTTCATTACCTCTAAGCATCTGTAATTCAGAAGTACTTGTTTTAGGGTTCTCTATTTGCAATTTTATGACTGACATAATATAATCATTGTGGGAGTTGAACAAGAAAGGGTCTGTTTACAATTTCATTAACTTTGTTAGGGATATATATATATATATGTATATATATATATATATATTTATCACTTTCAGTTTTTAGTCCCTTGGTAGTTTAATTCTATGATTGCCAGCTCCAGACACAGTCTTGTCTTCCATCAGGGAAGGGTTCACCTGCTGAGGTCAGTCCCACTCAGATTAGTCTTCCCTTTTGTGAGTAACACACCAAAGAATGTGTCTCAGTAATATCTCTAGAACAAGCTTCTTCTACCTTTATAGCACATTGCTTCAGTTCTTTCCAGCCTCAGAGGGAAGAGATGATTTCTTAGTCATGTGCATGGGCACAAAAACAAAACTCAATTATAATTTAAAAGATGCCCTTAGACCTCTCATTCAGCAGTGGATTGGTAGCCCCTCTAATGATAGCAGCCAATGGCTCATCTATAGCATTGGCAATGATCTGAAATTTAGAATTACTTTTTGATGCAGGGTTTTGCTATATAGCCCTAGATGGCCCAAAACTTTCTATGTAGACCAGGTTGGTCTCAAACAACGTAACCATGCCTTCCAAGTACTGAGAGCAAAGGCATGTGAAACCATGTTCAGATAAATATTTTTGTTCATAATGTTTTAAGTCACTTGATTAGTATAAGACCACAATATCAGTCCCTAAAAACCAGCTGACTAATGTAACCAGGGAAGAAGATTTGAATGCATTTAAGTAAGAGTTACAAGTTATAAACAATAGCAGAAACCAAACAAACAAAAGATCAGATATGTTGGGGGAAGTCCTATGTATATGTCAATAATAAAGCACTGTTGGCCAATAGGGAACACAGATAGGTGGGACTAGGAATCCAGGAGGACACTGGGAAGGAGAAACAAAGAGAGTCAAGATGTAACGCCATGGGGTAGGAAGCCCAGAACTATTCTCCGGTAAGAGAAATACTTAGATTAACAAATATGGGGTAATTACTTAAGTCAGAGCTAGCCAGTAAGAAACAAGCAAGGCCAACAGCTTCATAATTAATACAGCATCTTGTGTGTTATTTGGGGACTACAACGCGGCAGAGCCCAGGCGATTGGCGGGTGATAAACCAAAGCGGCTACCAAGGAAAAGAAAGTTTTCCCTTTACACAGATAAATAATTTAGCCTGATAAAACATCTTGTAAAATAGAAGATATAATTAAAATCTCCCAGCCCAAGACAACAAAAACAAAAACAAGCAAACAAAAACATAATAACAACAACAAAACCCACTAGGGCCAAATTCTACACATTGAAAGAATTAACATATACCCTATTTGAGTTCCTGTCCTGACTTCCTTAAATAATAAACAGCAATATGGAAAAGTAAGCAAAATAAACTCTTTTCTCTCCAAGTTGCTTTTTGGTCATGGGATTTTGTTGCAGCAAAAGAAGCCCCAACTAAGACACTATTAGAAACTATGCATAGATTCAAGGCAGTCCTCGATAAATGTTATAATACAGTTCTTTACAGACCTTAAAAGAACAATTTTTAGTTTTATGTGGGAACACAAAAACCCAAGTTGCTAAAGCAATCCTAAAAAATAAAAGAAATGCTGATGTCATTGCCGTTTCTTATCTCAAATTGCACTAGAGAGCTATACATTAAAAACAGCATGAAATTGGCTATTAGTTGCTCTCCACAAACCAACAGTAAGGAATTATTACTGAAGACAGCACCTACACAACTCACTGAACATGAGGAAGTTGAGCTGCTATTAAAAGAGAAAGGTAAACACCAACCCAGCTACAAAAATTTCAATCCACAATGGAGATCAGGCTACAAGGTAAGCTGGGCCAATAGTGGGATGAAGTTTGTAAAACTAGTCAATCAACATCTGAATGGAGTTAAGGTCTTTTCAATTAAATGGGTCCCATACCTAACACTGTGTTTGTAGCCTAGAACCTAAAACACAAGACCATGTAGGTCAAGGACCTAGAGGAAAACCATCCTACTATTGTGCTGAAAGAAATTAACAATGAAATGTCCCCTAATGGCATATTGCTATACCTATAGATCAGTGCCTTGATCAGTCACCACCAGAGAAATTTCTACCTGCTGCAGATAGGAGCAAATACAGGGAGTTGGAGCCAGAAAGTGTGCAGTAATAGACATTGAACACTTAGCCCTAATTGGGATGCCATAACCCTCACATCAGGGCTCAGGAAAATCTGTAAAAGAGTACATTAAAAGAGTGTAAGAGCTGGGGGAGGGATGGAGAATACCAAAGAAATTAGGTCTTCTAAAAACAGTAGGACTGGTGCAACATCTCAGAGATTGGCAGCATGCACAGGGCCTACATGGGTCTGTACCACATAGAATCCTATAAGGAGACTAATGAACACAGGCCCCCATCCCTAACTCAGGAGCTGCTTCTAACTACTAACAACTTGCAAATTAATAATTAGTCTTCTCCAAATGAATCTTACTGGGGATACAATGGCACTTAAGTGTAGGGTCCATGTCCAGCAGTATATTGATATGTGTATGGAAGGTATATATGCCTATAATGCCAGCACTAAAGAGGCAGGGCCAAGCAGATCTCTGAGTTCAACACTAGCCTAGTCTACAGAATGAGTTCCAGGACAGCTAGGGCTGTACAGAGAAACCCAGTCTCAAAAACAAACCAACAAAAAACAAAAGAAAGAAAACATGAAGGGAGGGAGGAAGGAAGGAAGGATAAAGAAAATGAACTCAAACACTTATTTGGACATTATTTGTCTCATAAAGTTGTGTCATGGCTTTCAGGTTTTTCTTTGGTTTTATTTGTTTTATTTTTTTAAGCTTACAGGTCTTTCCTCCCACATACATTATACCTTCCATTTTTGTGATTTCATGGGATTCCTGTGTGTGTGAATGTATGTTTCTTCTGTTTTGACTTTGATTTTTTCTCCTTTTTGTGTGTTTTGTTCTATCACAAAACATTTGTTTTTGTTTTATCTTCTTCTATATTATTATTTTATTATTGTGTAATTATTTATATTAATACTTTGTTGCTTTGTTGTATCTTTATCATTATTTTTGAAATGCCTGTTTTCTTTCTTTTTATTAACATAATGCTTATTGATTTTTTGGGAATTTCACAACACGCACCCTTATCCCACTAATTTTCCTGTCCCTCAGTATCTGTCTTTCACCCTTGTAGTGTCTTCCTAACAAAGGAAAACTAAAAAGGCAATAGATACAAAATAAAAATGTAAATACAATTTAAAATATTAATTAAAAACAAGCAAACAAAAACAATACAAAAATCAAAAAGCAAACAAAAATAAAAACGCATTACTCCTCCATCTTCTCTGACTCCACATGGCCACTTCCCTGATTTTCCATCACCTTTTCATTCATCTTGGTAGCACTGTGAGCTATTATGTATCATGCTGTATTCCCTTTTGGCCACACAACTTGCAATGTTCATTGTTTAATGGGTTATTGTTCTGGTTCAAGGCCTCTGGCTTCTGGCACACCTTCAATACTGGACCATAACACAAAAGCTTTTTGAATATCTTGCAGTTGCCCCAGTTATAGAAACAGTGTGGTTATAGTTCCAAAGGGCCAGTCCCTTCCTACACTGCAGCATATAATAGATGGGGTAGATGTTGTGGAGTGTCCACTCAAAGCCTTGGGCCATATTTCCCAAATGAGTGGTGGGGAGAAGTTTTCCTATTAGGGGACAGGGCCAGATGTCCTGTGTCAAGGTCAATAGGGTTTGTTATCCCAGAGCCTGAGAGCGGCAAGGTCACCTGTCTTGTAAGAAGGGCACTTCTCCCCTCTCTGGGCTAGCTTACCATGGCCCTCCTACTATAGCATATGGTTCAACATATGGATCGCATAGGTCCCTGTGGTAATGTGGACAATAGACATCAACACAGATGCCAGTTACAGAAGGACCACAGATACAGACATAGCCATCAACAGGGTATGAAGCCAAATGTAACCATGGCCTCTGGTATCAGCACAGGTCTCGCAGACCAACTTGGCCTCAGGTATTGACCCACAAGTGCCACCAATGTGTATCTCACGGTTCTGGAAAACCTGAGGTCAGACGAAAAGACTCCATGTGTGCTGCAGCCTCACTTCCTGATGTATGATCTCAAGCCTTGTTACATCCTCCTGTAATAGAAATGATAGAGGAGCTCCTTGGCATATCTTCCCTATGGGAATTTATCCCTTTCAGGTAAGTTCTGATCACTTGCAATAGGCCCCATTTCCAGACACCATTGGAAATTAGTAATCAAAATGTAAATTTGGGGACTAAGAAACAAACATTTGATCTATACCCAGGTTACCTAAACATAAAAGTACTATATGATTTGGTGACAATTGGAATTAGGACCAGAAAGTATTATTGGCATATCTTCAGTACTGCAGTATGATTCCTTAAAACCAAGAAGGGCAAAGGTGCTCATTAAAAATACATGCATATTAAAAATTGCATTAAAATGATGCAGTTTTTGAAGTTCTTGCCATTGATTATACATACAGTGAAAGGTACGTGCAGAAAGGACCTCTTTGATGGCAGCAATGTTAAGTACAGGTGGAGAACTTTCCGCTCAGTGTGAAGGAAGATGCTCACTGGGGTACACTTCTTGACAGGCTAGGATTGTGACTAGTCAATCACCGCTCACTTTCATTTCAGTGCCAAGGACTTGATTCAGCAGTCCTTGGTGACCTTGTTACTTGCAGGAGATCAGAGAAAATTTCCTTCCTTAGGTACAAGCAAGACAACATGAGGGAATACTCTGAGGAGCCCCCATGAATCCCTCTCTACTCAGGAGAAAAACCCCACAGCTGGATACAACCCTTTAAAGCAGTTAGTCCTCAAATAGTTTTGTTTCTAAACATCTCTGTCTTGCCTTTCAGAATCAGAATATGAGTTTGGACACAAAGGGAGAAAAGGATATTTCATGTTGTTCATCTCTAAATGCTGTGTTGATTTGATAATAAAAAAAAAAAACAGGAAAAATGCAGCCACTTCGTTTTTTGGTCCTGATAATTCCTCTCTGTGTTGGTTTATGTGTTTTTGTTTTGATTTTAGCTCTCTATATAATTTGGAGGTTAAAGAAGAGGTCCATGTGTACCATGTAACTTGCAGAGTTAGTCTGGCTACCTGCCTTTCATCAAATTCTGTAGTATAGAGGCACAACAAAAAATATGCAAATTGCTTCTAGAAGTTATAAAAGAGACAGTCACCTGAATGTGAACTCCCCATGACTTTTAACTCCTACAACCCAGACATGAATGACAGTTCTACAAGCATACTGAATCTTTCATTTGAATCCAGTCTCTAGTTTATACACTGTAAACTTCTCCCTGGGGACATGCAGCAGAGTGATCTCACAATTCTCCCTTCTCTTTCCAATGGTATTGTAAAATGAATGAGGTGGATACAGGTCACACACTCTTAAACACTTGTGAATGCTCTGTCAACATCAAAGTAGAATGAAGAACTTGTCTGAAATTACATGAATATGCAGGTTATCCAATATGATATTCTTCCTGGGTTAGTAATGCATTGTCTTGGCAAATACTTGTTGAGACACTGTGTCCAATATGTTTGTAGTGTTTGAGAAACCAGAATCGAATCAGAATAATAATCATGACCCTCCTTCCCTCAGACAGCTTATTTTTATTATACAATATAGACTATAAGAGTAAACACAATGAGTAGACAGGGAAATCGGGACAAGATTCTTAGCAAAGTATCTCCTAGTGAAGTGGACCTGTGCTAGGCATTCACTTCTTCCATTGTCTTGTCCTCAGTAGAATGCAAATGTTTGCAGATATGTGATGACATAGAGTTACTATGTGTATCAATGGATTTCATCCATGGTTTTACAGATAAGCAAATAATGCATTTGAGCTTTCATCCCTCAAGAACATGTCATGTCCTCTCCATTCTTTTTCTCAACTGCTCCTGTCCCCAACCTTCTGATAGTCCCCGACTTTCCTCTATACACTCTTGCTTCTACTTTCATATCATATATAAACATTATTACTTATTTACATAAATATTAAAATACATACATAGTTAATATTTTTTATTTTTCTGCTTCAAACAATTCAGTTTATATGTATTAAGAGCATTCACTCTCTTATGCAACTGCTGTCATTATCTACCTTCCAGGCTTTTTTTTCATTTTTCAGACCCTAAACTCTCCACCAACAGCATCTACCTGTTCCTCTGACTCCACAGCCTTGGGTGATTACCATTTATTTTCTCTGTGGATTTGTCTACTTTAGGGAACTCAAAGTAGTGACATCCAAACTACAAAACAAACAAGAAGAGCTTGTCCTTTCACAGACGGCTTCTATTGATGTCTGATCGATGTGCCACTCTCTACATCTGTCCATGTACACTTCTGATGATTATGACTTTCTTTTTCTTCTGGGGGCAGGTGGGAAGATTAGAGCTATGAACATGAATGTACAGATATCTGTATTAATCTCTGCAACTGGGTTTTGATTACACATACCCAGAAGTAGAATTGATGGATCATATGTTGATTGTCTATGCTGATTTCTAAAGTTGCCATTTTGTTTTCCCAAAGAGAATGTGAAAGAATTTAATATCTCCCCATGCCCAAACTTGGCATTGCACATTGATATTTAATAAGATACATCTCTGTAAGTATAAAGTGATATTTCACTGTGACTTGGCTTTACATTTGCCTAATAATTGATATTATGTGTCTTGTTCACTGCAGTGCAAACTTTGCCTTGCAGAATGACTGACTTACTAAACAGATCAGAGAGTGGCTATAAGGGAAAAAGGGGGAATTAACTGATCAAGAAAGAAATAGCATGCCCCATGTGTCAAAGAGTGTTACAAACATCAGTGCAGAAATCTAAAACATTTTTATTAGAATCAGTACATTGAAAGGTGTCAGGAGATTTTCTAAATGTTTTCCTCACTAAAGGGGATTAAATTATGCAAGAGAAGGTGAAGATTCAAGAAATAGTCATTGCTTCTGTTCACAAGGGCCCTAAACAAAGGTGAAAAACCATAAATGTAGCTGAGGATGTAAAGCTGCAGTTAGAGAGAAGCAAACTGCAACACAGAGGCAGAATCATGGGCTCTTATGAAGGCTGGTACCATAATCTGTGCTACAGATGAGACTGGAGTTGGTGGTAACCAGTGCCACATAACAGCTCCTGGGAAAGATAGCACATTGACCTCTATTTTAAGTTACATCAGAGGTCTGGGAAAGTATTTAGAAGAGAAGTGAAATGTTCAGATCAGGTTGTGTGGAAAATAAATTAAAATCAAGCATGTAGAAAGAGAAGATTGGTTTTTAGATGGGCCTCTAGAAGATCAGGTACAGAACTGACAATTTTTCAGACTCAGAAAGATAAGAGGACACAACTATAACATATGGAAATGAAGTTGAGGTCTTATGTACCTGAGCAATAAGACATTAAAAGATTAAAGTTACAAACATTTATTAAGAAGGCTGCTTTAAATTTGATGTCTACTATAATTAGAGAAGATCAAATGGGAGATCAGAAGATACTTGAAATTCAAAGAGATTGGATTTGAGATACAGATGCATTTGTCATTAGTTTGATGATGGTATGGATAGTGGTTAATGCTATATTTAATCTCGAGGTGGGAATGAAATTTCTAGATGAGAGAAAAGTGGGAAAAGCCCAAAATAGAGCTCTAGAAAAGCCTGACATACAGGGATTGAAAAAGATAGAGAAAAACTCTGTGTAGAGACCATTGTGGGAGAGGTGAAAGGAATATAGTGACTGGAGTAAAACTGAGAAGACAGGGAAAAAACAGTGACCCTGAAGAAGCAGCCACACACTTTGGGCATGGTTTCAGGCTCACTGGTGAGGACAGATGCTACTACAAAGAAGAGAGTCAAGAGTGATCTTGCCATGGTCTAACAATGACCAATAAAGACCTCAGCACATAGAAAGCATAAACTTTAACCACCTCCAGAAGTGCAGCTTCTCATGATCCTGCTGAAGCTAAAAGGAAACTATTTTCTTCTTAATGAATACCATCATGTTCCATTTCTATGATATTCTGCTGCCATCTGTAATTTATCCATATAAAAATCACCATGTCCAAAAGTTCAAAATTAGCTATTAAACATAGGATGTATTCTAGAGTTATACTTACAACTGTTAACAGCCAATCTTACATAAAAACAAATCTAACTGTAAAACCTCTTCAATTAACCCAAACACTTTCAGCTAAGTAGATTTCTTTTATATCTTTTAATTAACTGTTTTATTTTTGCTCTTAATCAAATGGCTAGTAAATCTAAAGCATTAATTTGAAAATCACTATGTATTTGTAGTGCAATATTATTTCTAAATTCTACTTGCATAGCCTCAGATTTTGTTGGATTATATATAAGATGACTGATAGAAAACTAAAGTCAAAATTTTAAACAAGGAGCTATTTTTCTTCAAACAAGCCTGGTATACAAGAACTAGTTCCAGAACAGGCTCCAAAGCTACACAGAAACCCTATCTCAAAAAAAGAGAAGTAGCTTCAAGACGTTCTCTCTCTCTCTCTCTCTCTCTCTCTCTCTCTCTCTCTCTCTCTCTCTCTCTCTCTCTCTCTCTCTCTGGAAAAAAAATTCACATGTTTTATATTCACACATGATTTCGGCTATTGAGAATTTGAAGAGTAAAAGCTAACCCAATTATTAAGGTTATACGATGCAAAGAACCCCTGAAACATCTCTTAAACAGAGACAAAAAATGGAAATCCTTATTGCAGTGTGATATGCAGTAAAATAGAAGGAGACATGCAAATGAATTCTACGTGAGTCACAATCAGACACAGGAAGAAAAGAAGTCATAATGAGAAGTATTACATTATGCTTGCTTTTGGGGGAAAAGCTTGTTATGTGTTGTTGCCTCCATTACCTGGGCCTTAGAGTTGATGTGATACCAGGGCAGGAGAAGATGTCCTTCTGAAGACATGAGGTTTCCTATTGGCTACCCATGAATAATGGATGACAGGTGCAGTAACAGGTGTTCTTAGCTGTGCTGTAGACAGGACAGACTCTAAAGGTAATATTGAAACAATAGCTTCATTACAAACAAGAGATCACCATGGACACAAATATCACATGAGTAATGACAAATATCAAACCCCAGAGGTATGCACAAGGTGGCACAGAATTAGACATATCCCAGTCGATTTGACAGACTCTATTCACACCATGCAATTAATTCATTTTGAATCCCCATGGGAAAATGGCATATTTTGAAACATAAAGAAAATTAAAATAATTGTATAAAATCATGAGTGTTTGCCTGAAAATTTGGAGGTTCTTGAAACAGTATTTTGCCCCCAATGGATTCATTATCATTAACTGGAAATTGAGAGTTCTCATTACCTCTTGATACTGAACTCCTCACTGACACCCACATACCAGGAGAAGAAGAGATGTTATCAAAAAGAGTATATACATGAATAATCACACGGAAGTAAAATTTCTTGTAATCGCTCCATTACAACTGTCCAGTTTGATGCAACAGTCTACATGGTAAGTAGAAACATTTGTGTACTGAAAATAAGATTGTGGATGGGATGTTACAATTTACTGCGGAAAACTCCTAATACCCTTAAAGGAAGTCAGCCTACAGGGATTCACGAACTATCTCAGCACTTTGACAGAGGTAGTGTTTAATAAATGCTCCTTGCTATAGTGTAAAATAATAACCTATAATGATTTCAGGTTTGATATGAGGATGATAGGTAGCATTGTCTGTAACTAAACACTAAAGTAACAAAACATGGACCAGAGCTAGAGGAATGAATGCTCAGAAATATATATCTGGAACTGGACTTCAAATTTAAGAGCTTCAAGTTTTCATAGAAGTTTCAAATTATATAAAGAATTCTATTATCCTCTCACAATTTCAATCAGGAGAAATATATTTTAGTATGAATTATGAAAGAAGAAATATATAGAAATAAGAACTG